AATTTCTATAGGTTGTACATAAGTTTAGAAACATAAGTTAAGCGGTACATTATTTCATGTGTTATACTAAAATGAACGGTATCACCGTGTCACGGTATAATAATAACACTACATAGCTGAATTTGAGATACACCAAAAATTACTCGGTAGATAAATATGCCTAAAATCAAATTAAACGGGGAAACGGGAGGGGAAAAAAGGAAAGGATGATGAACAAGAAAATGGTAGCAGATAAATCTTGACAAAGAGGATAACAATCATCTGCTAGATAGGGAGGGTATAGTAGGCCTTATCCTGTTCTTAGTTGTAGACAAAAAAGGAAAGGACATATGGCACTTGTTAATTCAAAGAATCATATGGATAATAAGGTCAAATTCTAAACATATAAATGGTGTCACGGTCTTCCTCTGTTGAATCACAATTCACTAGGCGTGAGGTTTTATCACAAAAGGATCTTGATATTAGTTGAAGTAGGGTTGAGATATTTAAACTCTTATTTTCTCAAAGATACGGTCGATGTGAGATATTTCAACACTATCTTCCTATCTTTCTTTAGGGCAGTCTCTCAAATTTAAAAATGGAGAGCTCAATGCTATCGGGTTATAGGCACATTTGGAAGTGCTTTTAAAATAACTGAAAATGTTTTTGGTGAAAGTGTTTTTAAATTCCAGAAGCACTTGAAGTTCTTCCTGAATAAAGCACAAATTATGTGCTTTTTATAGAAAGCAGTGCAAATGCTCGGTTATTTTAAAAACACTTCCAAATGAGCCTATAATAATTTGAATGAATTTGATACACTGTATCAACATATGTTACTTATGATCTGTAAATTTTCTTATTGTGAGCCATATCAAGAGGCTGAGTAAGATGCTAATAATTTATATAGTGATGGGCAAGGATCACTGGTGCTTGTAGAGTTGTACGGTTTTGTGGGGGAAAAGCCAGGATGGAAAAAAAATAGGGCATGTGATATGATCACGACTGTCCATCTCTCCAATTATTCTCACTTATCTTTCTGAAAGCTGCAGGCAGTTATATAGAGTAAGATAAGAGTCAAGTATACGATACGACCACGTTCAATGCCAGGTTCGTGGAGAAACTAGAGGATCCGAGAGTGTTTTCTTTCCTTAATACGATATCAAATGCTTCACAGACTATGAAGCCTTGGTTGAAGACAATGTGATAGGTTGTCTAACAGCCTCTTAGTTGTAGCTAACATCAAATTAGAGATAACTTTTGTTCGTATACATAACATGTGATGCTATAGATTTACGCCTTATAACATGTGTTGTTATAAATTTACACGTAATAACATGCTAAGTTCTAGATTTATTCAAGATGTTGTAAATTTTTTTGAAAGGGCATGTGCTAATTAAAGCTTTGATTAGATAGTTTTATACTCTTAGTTTTATGGTAGCGATCTACACGTATAATTGATTCCAAACTGACGTACAGATTCTGCTAGCTTATCGTTTGTAAACAAAGAATAATTTAATCTTCTTAATTTCTTATTAAGTACTTTAATTGATTATTTATATATAATTAAGAAATTGCAGCGAAGAAAATATTCATGCAATTGATAGGTTTGAATAATATGAACAGAAGGTGCAAAGATGTGTACTCTCTCGTGTTAATCATGTCTCAAATCAGTGCAAATATTCCCACATCTTTACCCAACTTTCATGCTCACGAATTATGGTAGACAAGTAAATTATTTCTTAATCATACCCCTACCTCCAATGAATTTTGTGCTTAAAAACGTGCTGATCACATTTTATAATACAAATGCAGATTATCTTGCAATGAATTTTGTGCTTAAAAACGTGCTGATCACATTTTATAATACAAACTAGCATATGGGCACACACAAAGTATGTGAGAATTTTTGTTATTTTTTATTTATTTTTAATTAGATAGATATGTTAGAATTACCTGTAGGTGATGCTTTGAAAAAAAAACAAAAAATTTGGTTGTGTGAAATTACATTTCTACTCCATATTTCTTATTCATGTTATGTTTTAATTAGAGAGTTAAACTGATAATTTCATAAGGTTTTAGTTGACAATAAGTTTTATTAATTAGTAGAGATGCGTAGATTATCTTACTTGTTTATGGTCATGGTCTCTTGATTATTATTAACTCAAGGAAAAAACCATGCCTTTGAGTTGAAAAACAAACAAAAGCACCGTCAGCAATTTGTTTTCATGCGATATCCGAAAAGGAAATTGAACACAATTCTACGCGTCCATAGAAAAACCAGTTAAACTACAAATTTATTGCACGGAAGAGCTTAATTTGGTACGGTCGATGAATCAGAAACTCCACCATTCCAAGTAAAGCCAAATACACTTACGGGACTATTGTCAAACAATTATTTTGTCACATAAGTACCTAATTTTTCTTTAGGAAAACTAATGAAAAGAATTTGAAAATTTTGAGTTTTAACGATAAGGATAAAATAAAAAGTAAAATAAATAGTATTATAATTAACTTTTTAGTGTAAAATTGTGATTTTTAATTATAATAAACAGTGTCATGAACTTTTCGTTAAAGTTCTCTTTTTCTTTTTGGTCCAATCACGTGTGCATTATTGTTTGACACTCAATTATGTTCTTACTGTAGCTAGTTGATAGTAAGCTATAACTCGTGTACAAGATATGTGGCGTGAGGAATCCGCTGGTGTAGTTTGACATTTAGCATTAGAAATCTCACTGTATATATGGGGACGACCAATATGGTGAAAACGAAACCCTAATTTGCAATTATTGTAACACCTTGTGAGTGGAAACGATTGATGATGTATCCATGGCCGGTAGCTGATCACCATCTAGAAAAAGATAGCTGAAAGCATGAATAATTTATTAGCTTTGTTCGACAGGTAAGCTCGAAGAAAATAATTACAATGCAAAAAAGATCTATTAAAATGGTTTATTAATTGGAGTCATGGATAGTTAACTTGCTACGCTTAACCTCCAATCTCGTCTATAATATTCACAAATTGCCTTGGCGTGCGGCAACACGATTGAGTTGAGTATTTTAATGATTGAACAGTGACATGGTGCAGTTGGAATACTTAAATATGATCAAGAGCTACGGCTCTTCGCGAACGAGAGGTAAGTTTTAACAATGTATTTTAACGTAATACTAAACCGGCTCTTCACGAACGAGAACTTTAACACAATGTTATACAAACAATTGAACTGTATATAAGCATAAACTGTTAAAAATAAGTCAACAATGTATATCAAACTACCGTAACAATAAACCCTCAAACACTGAATATGAGTTTGCAGTTTGCTCATATGCAATAGAGTTTGAGGGGAAAAAAACAAGATTCTTAAGCATTTATATACAAAAACAGAAAGCCTGTTATATTTTCTATCAGATTAAGCTATGAAAACGTCGTAAGAGATTCTACAATTATACAAGGAACCGAATCCTAATGTATGACGAGGACAAATTGAATGATTCACTTGGTTAAACATAATCTTATCGTTTGTTTTAAGTCTTAATTGTAAGGCCAAGTGTAAAAAAGGTTTCACTTTTTTGCGTTTGGCTTCTATTTCAACAAGGATATCATACAAGCAACGACTAGGTCCATAAAATATAACATCTTGATTAGGATCTGTTATTTTATTAAGGTTAGCGTGGTGCACAACTGAGTTTGGAGCTTTGCTATGATGGAATTTCAGCTGAAAAGCAGAGAGGAAATGGTAGGTGTGAAGGTGATAAGTTATGTGGAAACAAGGAGTTGTTAGGTATTAAACAAAGGAAAGAAAAAAAAGTATAAGATAAGATAAGATAAGATAAGTAGTGGATGAACAATTTAGCATAGTTTAAATGTGTACTAACTTCTTCAATTAGGAAAAAGTGATGACAATGATGGTGATGAATGATGATGATGATGATGATGATGATGATGATGATGATGATGATGATGATCTTGACAATTGTTAGTAATTATTTACACTCGGTGCTATGTTTGTCTCATTGAGTTTTATCTTTGACATTTTGTTTTGTCTTACTTTATTTTTTGTGGTTACCATCTGTGTTCCTGAATATTTTATTTCATCAACTAAGTTTAATGATGCGTTAGTTTTGCTAACATGACATGAGTTTTAGTATTTTTAACCTCGTTTTTACATTTGGGACATCTAAAACTTCAAAAATCATTTTGGCAACAAAAATTGAAAAGAAATCTTCCACCAAAGTTTTCTCAAAACATGATAAGCTCAATTTCTCAAGAATTGTCATTAAACTCAAAATGTCTTTGACGTATTCTTATATTCATTGTTAAATGGCCAAAGGACAAAGAATCCCTTAATAAAGAAGCTTATGGTTAGGTGAAAATTCTATAAAAAAAAGGTTTATGAAGGTTTCCATAGAATTTTGGAAAACTGGTAAAGGAAACCAAACAAACAAACAAAACAAACAAAATTATTCAAAACTTAACGTAAATATCATGAACTAAATTTACATTTTAAAATGACACGTTGTGAGAAAAATATCACGATAAATAAAACAGGAGAATCTGACTCTTCAATCCTAATTTTAAAAGTACAAAGTCTTCCAAACAAGCATTGAAATAGAAAACTAAACAGTGTACACCAATAATGTGGTTCTCGATAAAAAAAAAAAATGTAAGGGAGACCATGTTTTAGACCATAGTTTGTAGACCACACGATGGGAAGGTTGATATCATTAAAAAAAATAAAAAATCCAATCATCAATCATCGTATCATGTGGTTTACCAAACATTAGTTCAAGTGGATGATCTCCCTAGTATTTCCTAATAATACCATGAGACCTTATTTCACTTACTCATCCATCTATTTAACACATAACATGTGAGAATGTTGATAAAGCTACTCTAGAGGCTAGAAAGCCCAAGCCTAAGGGAAAGTCCGATCCAGAAAGCTTTACCCAATTTAATCCTAATGGGCCTAAAAGGCCTCATTGATGAATTGACAAAATGGGCTTTAAAGTGGGTCGAACAAGTTTTTCCTTTGTTTTGGTCAGAGTCAAACCAACTCGTTTTCGCTAGTTGCCATCTCAAATCTCTCTCTCTCTCTCTCAAAACGATTCATCGTCTCCGGCCAGCTCCGCTGAACTCACCGTGTCGTTCTCTGAAACCGGTTAGTCATCAGCTACTTCCTCTCTGATTGGTTGGTGAGAAAGATTCGGTAAAAAGATACATAATTTGTAGGATTTGACAAATTTGTAAAGCTACTGATCTGTTTAGTTACTTGTGAATAGAAGTAGATTGTTGTTTGTGTTAGAATAAATCTTGTGCACAATCCCAATTTTCTTAAACACCCATTTGTGGTTTTCTCAATTTAAAGTTCTGTAGGAATCCAATCAAATATACACACTTATATGCACACATATATGTGTGTGTGTGTGCGCGCGCATATAGATGGGCAAGATCACAATGAAGCTCTAACCTTTACAGTCAACTCCATCCTACTAGATTTTTTTTATCCTGGAATTTACTCATGTTTTTCTTTAATCTTTGGGATATGGTTTTGTTGACTTTTATGTGACTTGAGACATCTTAATCTGGCACTAATCTTGTGCTTGTTGTTTGTAGATTCCGGAGTTATGAATTGGGTTCAACGAAAGATCTATCTTTACAATGTGACATTTGGGCTCTATATGTTGGATTGGTGGGAGCGTTATCTCTTCAGTATCCTATGTTTTGCCTTCTCTTCTCTTCAGAATGCTGGATATTTTGTCCTGTTTTAGTTTAGAGAGCATGTGGATTTACATACTTTCAATGAGTGAACTCATTTCCTTGATCTGGTATATTTAGAGTTTACAATTAGGAATGTTTGATAACTATTTCGTTTTTAGTTTCTTGTTTTCATTTTTGTGTTAGATATAGAGGGAAATACATGGGAGAAATGAGGGACATAGAAGAGTGGAGAAAAGATGGTGGGTGAGATGTAGAACAATATATGGGAAGACACACAAAATGCAAACCAAAAACCATTTGTAGTTAGATTTTGTTTTCATTTATTCTTCTTATTTCCTTACCTCTCTCCTACCCACACTTCTGCATCACTCCTTTCCTTCATATATCAAGCACAGAAAGTGAAAACTAAATACTAAAAAGCAAAATGGTAGTCAAAGGGACCTAGCATTTCATTAGCTCACAAAAAATTCTTCTTTCTGTTATGATTTGGTAAAGTGACTCTTTTTTTCTGGCATTTTCTTAGATCATCGTGTGCTAAGAACTGATTCTATTTCTAGTTTGTTTAATTGTCTCTACCATATTGTCACGTATAAGTATCATAAAAATTTGTGTTTTTGGTCATCAGCGTCTGGTGCAATATTATGAATCTTGATTCTTGATGAATAGCAGGAAAATGCATGTTGAGGAAGTAATACTATGAGGATTCAATATGTTAACTGTATATCCCACCATAATTGGTCAAATTTAATTTGGAGTTCTCTCCCTTCCTTTCTGCTGTTTATTGCATTTGTCAGTTCCTTAATCTTGACAGATACTTTGGTCGTTGTGTTACTGTGGTTCTTGTGTTACAATGGCTCACGATATTTAATGGAGTTTGGGAAGAGGTAACATTCTAACCGTTTTCTCTTGTCGGATATCATTAGGTGGTAGCATCTTATCATTATGTTATACTAGACTTTGTAGTATGTACTTTGCTATGATGCATTTGGATGCGATGGTATCATGAATCAATAGATAATGTGGGATTTGGATGCCATCTAAAAGTGAATCAGTTTACAGCTCTTGGTTCAACCTCCTTTGTGACATTGAACTTCTCCAGTTTATGTATCCATTTTGGAATAGAAGAATTGCCTTCTTTATTGCAGGCTTTGCAGCCACTCGACCCTCTTTTGTAGTGGGCAGTTTCAAAATTTCTTGAATTAGTTGTTGTAGTTGAATAGATTATTAGACTTCATCTGAATCTCCATTATCACTTTTACACACGAGAAGTGGTTTCTTTTGCTACGAATTCAAAGCACCATAAAAAAATAATCCGAACATTATGAAGGGTTTATCACTTTCTGTTACAGTCCAGGAATTGTGGCAATTTTATGCTAAAATAGTTCTGAGGTTTCTCTAGTATTTTTAGACTTCATCACATGTGCTTGTCGGGCCATTAAGAAACATACACACAGAACTATAGAAGGTGAAGTTGCTTATAGGGGTGTTTTTCGAATAAAGGTCCCAGATTATATTCGAATCCTTTAGGATGTAGTTTAGACTTCGAAAACATAAAAACAAATGAACTGAAGCAATGCAAAATTTTCATCAACTGATTTTTGTGCTTTGTAGAAGTCCCTGCCATACAAGTTAATCTCCTTTCAGCTTATCAATCAGATATTTATGGACTGTCATTGGTTGAACTGAAAGATTTAGCGTGGTAACTGAAAGACTGTAATGTAGCTTTAACTTGTCCTTCGAATATAGTGTCAGGCATCTATGGTGAGGCCTGGACTTTGGAGGAAGCATCGACTTGGATTGTTCAGATTGATGACTGAGCGATGATTTGAATGCAGATGCACCTTGTATTACACTGTATTTAGATTTGACTTGTGAACTGTCGATTTTGTGAGAGCAATTATGCATCTCCTACACCATTTTTCTCTTGTTTTAGGCGTCAGTTATCACTTACTATAGCAGACGGTTTTACTTCCTGCTGTATGGCATAATTCTAAGAGTCAGATTTTTCGTTACATGTTGTGATTCGTTTTCCCATCTCTGTATTCTCCATATCCGTTTGGCTGAGAGCTTTCTTAATATTTGTATTTTGATTCAAACTATTGAAAGGTGAAAGTGAACTTTGAATTTGAACGTAGACCAATTAGAACATGTTTTTAAAGTGTATGGCAAATTTGCCCCATGAATCTTAATGTTTGTTCCACTTTGGTCCTCAAATTGTTTTCTTTTCCGCCCATTGGTCCTTCAACCATTTCAAGGACAATTGTAATGGGGGCTATCATTAAACACTAGTTGTAATACCTTAGGGACCGTGTGATAGCGTGTGCTGTGTCCTACATCGGTGCACTCCTAGGTTGATCAATGCTTTATAAACGATTGTGTCCCTTGTCAACACATTTAAATGCATCTCGCTATGAAGATATGATGCGATGTAGGATTTGCACACTTTGTATCTTGCCAAGAGTATATGGATTACTGAAATGTTCGTTAACTAGTGGCCATGGCTTTTGTAATGAAACCCCCTTTCTGTACTTAACCAACACACATTCAAAAGTTTCACCAATCAAATTAAGACTAAAAAAATGTTGAAAGACCAAAGTGAAAAAAGTCCAAAACTTTAGAGGACAAATATGTAATTAACCACTTATCAAAAAGAAGGAAAAAAAAATTAACGAAAAGTTAAAAAAAAATTTAATTTTAATAAAAAATGATAAATAAAAGCGTAGTGAATAGTATGAAAAAAAATAAAAATATAATTTTTCGTTAAAAGTGAATAATATTAAAACTCAAAAAAAAAAAAAAAACCCAAGGGGTGCAAGGACCATTTGGTAAATTCATCCAAGGGAGAAGAAGGGAAACTAGGGTTTCCGCCGAACCTCTTCTCCCTCTCGGTCCTCTATATATTGAGGCATCAGAGAAGCCGCTTCCTCCATTCTGAAATTTACTACCTTCCTTCGCTCTTCGCATTTTCCGTGTTTGCTCCATCGTTTCCTTTCAAATTTTTCGCTAGTTTTTGTTTTTATGAATCCGATGTGATATGAAATATTTGTGTGCTTCACTATCTGGTCATTGCGGATTTTCAATTCCCAAATCGACTCGTTCCCTTGAAGCAAAATCGATCGTGTTGCTTCGGTCTTTTTTTAATTATCCCCATCAAGTCTGCTACTTTTGGGAGATTCAGAACGCTGAAGCAGCTACATTTCAAATAACCCACTTCATAAATTCAATCCTTTTTCTTGGGTTTTGATTCTTTTTGTGATTTATTGGGTATTTTTCTTAATTAAAAAAAAAGGGAAAGGCTTTGAATTTCGTATGAGCATGCACTTAAATTTGATTGGGTGCGTGTTAATTTTGAGATGAGCCGAGAAAGATGTTCTCCTCGCTATCTAATGCCGCAATTTCTGTGTGGTATTTGGACGTCGGAGAACTAAATTCAATCCCCCCACTTCCCTTTCATTTTCGTTCAATATTTTATTTCGTTTTAATTTGTATCTGTCGAAAGAAATTGATCTGTTTCAATCCTTACAAGTTGCTCTTTTGTATTAGGAACTGGAACTGCAAATGCCCAGAAGAAGAAGAAAAAAAAGCCCAGAATTTGAGTGCTTTTATGAATATTGATTTTAATTTAGGGGTAAATAACTAAATTGCACAAAAATTGACAAGCACCTGGTGCTTTTTGTAAAATTGTAGAAGAAAATATACTGAAAATAATATCACAAACCACTGGTAAAAGTTTGTAAATAAAAGTAAACGCAAAAAAAGCTCCAAAGAGATGAATTACTCCATTCTCTTGGGCTTCAAGAGGAAGGGGTAAAAAGGTTAGTTTTAGGTGCTCTTGGGGCCTCCATTTACCCAAAACAGGCACGGGCTTTGGTTGAGAAAACGGACATGTTTTGTCAATTTGGATTTCAGAAGATTTTAAAGAATTTTAATAGATTTTATAATCTTATATGGATTTGGGCGAGCTTATATGGATTTCTATACATTCATATGGATTTTTTTCATGGATTTCTCATTTGAATTGAGGTATAGTTTTGTGTTGATGTGGGTTCATTTCAACCGGGCTAGGGCTTAACTCGAATGATACAGCCTTGGTCCGTTAATATTTAGTTCATCAGTGAGGAGACGAGCTTGTTTTGTGAGATTAACCATACCCATATGAAGCATTTTGATTTGGGTGCGGTTAGGATAATTAGGATAAGAAAAGAACATACCATAAGAATATGTCAGAGAAAAAATGGCTGGTGAAAACACGGGAGAAAATGATAATATAGAAGAATTTTATTAGCTCAAAATTACTTCGAGGTATACGTTTCATGACAACGAATTTTCTTGCACGAATTAAAATTTTTCACTATGATTTGGTCAGTTATAATTTGCAAGTGCAAGGACCGGTTTGTTGTGATTGCTCCAGGGGAAACACCAGCAAGCTGCTGGGGGTAAATCACAGAAAGTTAACAATTGACTGACTATTTTCTAAGTCTTTATTTTGTGTATTCAATTTGATTTCAATTGCTTAGTCACCTCCCCCAATTTCTCAGTCTTCACATGTATATGTCACTGTCTAGATTTATCCTTGATGTCACATTTATAAAATTCAACATTGTATTCTCTAGATTATTTACGGCTTAGTAAGAGATGTTTGAACGGTACAAATGTTTATTAAGATAACTCTCAGTTTGCTGGTGTCGGATAGCAATAGCATTTGCCTAGTAAAACCATTACAATTAGTCTTCCTCTTGGTTATATAGTCCTTTATGCTCTTGTTTAATCTTGCACAGAGATCATTTCCTGAATTTACATTCTTGGAAGTAATTTATCAAATCAAAACTTTGTTCAACAAAAGACACCTAATTTTTGTAAAAAAAACCCTCTAATTTGAAAGAATATGGAGGGTACAGCGAATGGCAGCCAATGGCTGCCATGCATAGCATTGAAAGGAAAGGAAAAAGTAGGGCGTGGTGAAAGAGAGAAGTCAAGTTGTGAGAAAGCTTAAATAGAAATCCTAGGGGTGGAGGTGAGATTCTTTATTGCCTTTGTTATGTATAAAATCTCTCACTTATAAGAATCCTTCAAAATCTATGACATTTTGAATATCAACATATTTGTATGCACACTTTTAAAATGTTAATTGACTACACTTAGATTTGGATGTATTCTTTTAAATCCTGTCAAATCCTACCTTGACTATACCATGATTTCAAAGTGTTTTAAAATTCTCATTTAAAATCCTAATTGACTACACTCTGATTTCAAAGTCTTTTAAAATCCTTTAAAATCTTAGTTTGACTACACCCTCCTTAGAGTTGCTCTAATTGATTTACCCAATAATGTCACAAATTCAACCCTTATTTACCTGGAGAATGTCTTAATCTATCCAAGAATTGTTTATGAATGTAGTAGCATGCAAATTGGCATTTCATCGAGCCTGAAGTGTCAAGTCATATTGCACGCCCGTCGACATATGACAACATATGGTATAAGGCTAGCAGCTACCTTGTCCAGTGTTAATAGAGATAATTCATCGAGCAGTTGTATGACAGATATCAAGGGCATCTAAAATTTTCAAAGGGTAGCACAACTTTTTTACGAAGAATTTCTGAGCTTGGGAAGGGACTAGACGACCCACCCTGTCCCAAGGTTGATCCGCCCCTAGTCTCAAGTTCGACAAATAAATGCACGAACAACTGTATCGTTATAGTGAGCCCAATACGAAGTTGTGGCCTTATTATGAGTAAGTTGACGGGCTGGTTTGGTATTGATGTGCTTTGAAAAAAAGCTGCTGTGAGAATAAGCGGCTGTGAAATAAATCAGCAGAGTGTTTGGTAAACTTTTTTGTAAAAGCGCTTTTGGAAAAAAAAAACAGTCTAATAGTGGGTATTTTCATTAAAGAAGCACTGTAGCTCCGTGTGCTTTGAAAAAAAGCCAGTTTTCCAAAGCTGCAAATAGCAGCTTCAACTTTTTCCTTTGATTTCAGCTTATTCTCACAGCAGCTTCCAAAATAAGCTCTTTTTTTTCAGTTTACCAAACACCTAAAACCCTCACAGTTTTTTTTCATGTGTGCTTTTTTTTTTAAGCACCTCACTCCCAAACTAGGTCGACATCTAATGTTAAAATGTAAGTGTAAATTGTAAATTCCTGTGTCAAATCGAATCAAAAGGTTAAACTAAACAAAATCAGATTGCACTCCTCTATATCACTTTTTAAATCAAATGAAAAAACTCGCACAATTCATCAAAATCAAACAAAAATTTGGAATAGATCATAAGTTAAAATCATAATTTACCACTTCAAATTGAAACTCCAACGTAATAGAATCATCGACATCAAATCAGGTGCTATTTTCTCCTCCTGTTATCGGTAGTGGTCAATATCTCCCTTCGACGAGGAGAGTCAACCTCTGATCTTCATTGACAATTGTTCAAATGTTAGATGGTGATTTTGCGGTTTATGCACTCGGCTAAGGATTATGAGCGTTATCTTTTCATTTGGTTAGATGTGATTATGTCGAACACGTTATATATTATCTTTATGTTACATTCATAGTTGTGGAATTGTATTCCTGACCGACGATGTTCTTGGTTTTGTTTGATTAATGATCACTTATCATCTTCAAAAAGAAGAAGACGATCAAGGGAACATAAAATAACATACTACTAATGCTTGCTTCAATCGGCTTCTTTATCTTGTGGTTGATCGCAGTGATAAATTTGTTCTTATTCTAGTATAGAATTGGGCGTGGGAGATGTGAATTCAACGAAAGTGACTTTTTGAGCTTAAAATAATTAGAGAAGAGAGTTTTTAGAACAAAATCATACGTTTAACAATTCAATCAGCTTCTTTATCTTGTAGTCGATCGCAGTGATAAATTTGTTCTTGTTCTAGTCTAGAATTGGGCGTGGGAGATGTGAATTCAACGAAAGTGACATTTTGAGCTTAAAATAATTAGAGAAGAGAGTTTTTAGAACAAAATCATACGTTTAACAATTCAATCAACTTCTTTATCTTGTGGTCGATCGCAGTGATAAATTTGTTCTTGTTATAGTCTAGAATTTGGCGTGAGAGAACGAAAGTGACATTTTAAGCTTAAAATAAATAGAGAATAGAGTTTTTAGAACAAAATCATACGTTTAACAATTTAATTAGCTT